TCGGTTAATTGTTTGAGTGGGAGCGTCAAGGCCCATAGTGATACCCTGAGTCATTCCTTGGTCGACGGCAGCGGTGACAGTTGGATCAAAGTCGCGTGACCCCGGACGAGATGCGGAAGGAGACTTTTGCTGCGCGGCGAATACGACCTTGGTCCTGCGTCTGATGATCTCAGTGCATAGTATATCGGGATGTTTGGCGAGGACGTAGATGGCATTGATAGCTTGCTCGGCCACCCCAAACCACTCCTTGCTATCGCTCGGCACCTCGGTAATCGCTGCCAGCTTCGCCAGGACGGCATGCTCGTTCGGGAGACGGCTAAACTTGACCGTCGACTCTTTCGCTTGTCGACCGGTAGGGTTAAGTCTTCGCAGGGCAATGCATGTGAACTTAGCTAGCTGGAGGTCAGCTTTACCGTGGGATCCAAGACCCGTTCGTAGCATCGTCTCCATCTCGCCGACGACGATCTCGGGCGAGGCTGTAGCAAGCATGCCAAGTACGATGATGGCACCTCGTCGCTGAGCTCGAGATATCTCTCTCTTGTGGAAGCCGTATACTTCCCAAAGCTTCGTAACTACTCGGTCAGAAATCATGCCACCCTTCATCATTGTCGCGATCAGTTGTTCCAGACTTGTCAGCTCTGCAGGTGTCGTACCCGAAGTAAGACTGATCATGTTTCTTGCGATATAGATGGCAGCATCATTCGGAGTGAAGCTATCTGGAGCTTCGAAGAATAGTCGTCTATAACAGTCGATAAGATGCGATTGAACACCCTTGCCTTCGTCACTGTTGCCTTTTGTCCAGATGAGACGCATCATCCGTCGAATTCCAACCATATTGTCTTCGATGTTGTATGCATTGCCGATCTCCAGATAGTCCATCGCCTCAATAACCTCGGACTTGTTCTTGGATCCGAGCAGTTGGCAGACGGTTGACGTAGCTTCGTGAAGTACCTCGATGAACTTGAGAGCATCAGTGTAGTACCGTTTTGTCAGAGTCAACTTCTCAATAGCTTCTGATGTGGCTGCATCTTGTTGGGCTTTCTGAACAGCTGCTATTTTCTCCTCGTCGGTCATCTCTTTAGGTTTCTCGGGTGATTCTAGTTGTGTTGGCTCGTCGACGAGTGCTGTGCTGTTGGCCTTGTCCTCTCCCAGCCCGGGCTCTCCTGCTGGTGGTTTCAGGGCGTCTAATTCGGCATCAACCTTGTCGAGCCTTTCTTGCCAGTCCTTGCGGCCTAGTTGAGCTCCATGTAGCACGGTGAAGGGGTGAGTCTTGATCAGAGTTCCTATAAGCTTTATCGCGTTTCTCCTGACGTGGCTACTCTTGTCCTCGAGACTTCGGCAAGCTAGCTCAGCTACTTTCTGTCGGCGCTTGGGAAATTTCTGGTCTAGATCGCAAAGCCTCGTATAGACTTGCATGGCTCTGCATCTGCAGTAAGGGTTGATATCGAGAAAACGCTCCTCCAGCACATCGAAGAAGGCGTTGAGTTGTGATTTATGGTTTTCGCTACGCTCTTCTTGAGTGGTGAGGTGAGCGATCATGTTGCCGCAGACTTCAATTAGAGAGCACCGCAAAGTGTATGACTGATATATATGTTAGGTTAGTTCACTACAATATGTGAGTAGACATACCTCGCTATCTAATTGCTTAGCTAGCATCGTCATTTGCTTGATCACCAGGCGGGGAACAAGTTCTGAAAGCTTGATAATGAAGGATGAGACCGATTTGGGGCCCTTGGTGTCGTTGGTGTTAAATTCCTTGTTGCTGATCTCTCTCAAAATCTCATCAGCCAACTGTGGATAGTCGTATTGTTCAGCTAGAATATGCAAGAACTCGGCCATCGGTTCAGAAAGATGCTCGAAGTAGGTTAAATTCTGGACGATGGAGATTTGCGCCGCTACTATCGCGTCAGTACTTCCGCCAGGAAAGTCCTCCTTGGTATAGTGGCTCACCGTAGCCATGACCATGATGCTTTACGGCGATGCAGAGAACCTTGAAGGCATGCATTTTTATGGCAGTGTTCTTGACTCTCTGGTCGCTCTCTAAGATCATGTAGACTGGTCTCGTGAGAAGGCCGATGAAGGTATCGCGCTCGCTAGTCGTCAAGAAGATCTTGCCCAACTTCAACTTAAGAACTTTGGACATGACATCTAGTGCCGACTGTAACTGGGCGACGCTATCCCAACTACCATCTTTGTCTTTACTCGCAGCGGCAGCAGCCTTTGACTTGGCGCCCTTACCTCTGGCGCGCGATACTGGAGCCGTAGATGATTTTTCGGCGGCCTTCGTCTCGACACAAGCGATGGTCCACTGAAGGAGGAAGCCATATATCTCAAGCAGGGACTTGTGGTGGGCGATCATCTCCTGCTCCTCTGGATTTTCGAGGTCGTGGTTGATAGCATCGGCTTCGGCTGCTAGGCCACTCATGATCAAGTCGAAGATCTTGCTGAGGGCATGTGTGGGCAGAAACTGCGTATACCTGGATTGTACGAAAAGCTTAGAAGTCTGTTCTTGTGTTCTCGAAGTTGGATGCTGTGAAGCCTGGAGGTCATCAGGGGGATCAATGGAGGTGGGTGCACACTTGAGAAGGAACTGTAGCGAGTCAAAATATGCGCTACGCATGATAGCATCGGGATTCCCAGCGACGGCATCGATAATGGGATTTAAGATCGGGTTGAGGAGGGAGACGTTGGATAAAGACTCGGGGTCAGTCTCGCAGTCGACTAAGGCGCTGTCTGCTTCTGGTGTGGCGATAGCTGCCGGATCACTCATGTAGTGCATGAGCGCTTCATTTATATCAAAGTTGACCTGGTCCATCTTCGCGGGAGTGTTTGCGCCAGGTCAGCGCAGCAGCAGATAGACGTAAACGAAGACTGGTGGATTAAATGTATTAATGAGTATGAGTATGCACAGGGTTAGAAGATAGAAGCATGGATGAAATATGTCATCAGGGACATTCAATAAGAAGATAGAAGAAAGTCTACTGCGCTTGCAATAGGGGTATCTCAAGAGTATTTCTTGCAGTGTCGCGAAAATAATGAGGGGATCAAAGGATCAACAATAACGACATGGAGGTGTAAGTTGATATGTTATTTGGGGATGATGCGAGATGCGGGATGTGGGTAGCAACCGATTTGTTTTTGTTTAGTTACACGCTTCCCGTTTTGTATTAAAGCTTCTGTTTTGACCAATCAAAATTTTGAGAGGGGATTGTGGGGTCCACTTATTTGGCATCGCTTGTGCTACATAAGTATTATTAGGGAAAACCTAGCTTAAATGGCAACTATGATCATTGTTCGAGCCATGAAGGGCATTAATTAATAATGGCAAATTTCCATACATGTGTTGTTTAAGAGTCTACCCCTATGAAAAGTCCTGCCTATGGTGTTTATGACTGATCGAACATAAGCATTTGTAAGTTAAGTAGTGTGGGAACATAACGCTGTGTATCTGAAGGCAATAGGTCACGATACGTTTGCGTGTAATACCGTGTGATATATTACGATCTTGTGGTTATATAAACGTACAAATTACTAACTTTCAATCCCAAGCAGACGTAGCCTTATATAGCATAAGCCACACAAAGCCACACAAAGCCACAAAGCGCCCTTTGGCTAGTAAAACCCTTTTACTACCAACACACTCTCCTGACGCCAATACTATCCAAAAACGCCATTTTTAACCTTACTATCGCCTTTTACAACCTTATTTCGGCCTTTTTCAGCCCTGTTTAGCCTATTTCAACCTTGTTGTCAGCCTTTTTCAACCTTTAGCTATTACTATGTACATTATAAGGATCTTATTATTACTCACACTCTTACCCTTCAGGGATTTAGCTGGCCAGCTATTGTAATAAATCACAACATATCTTAATCCCTCCAACAATCTTGCACAAGATCTGCAAATAACCAGCCAGCCTTGCGGCTTTGTTGCTTATCCTAGCAATGCTCTCCACGTGTAACGCTCTCCAAGCTCCAACGCTTAAAAGATTACTTGCATCGGCTTGAAGGTACCTGCCGATTTGTTAATCTTGTGGGTTTTGCCATTACTACAACAATCTCAACAAACATATCCAAGCTTTCCATATTTTTAACATTTCTTACCATCCCGGTCCTTAATAACATAATTATCACCTTTACCAAATGCTTTGCCGATATAATTGCAAAATTTTGAAATAAAGTTATTTTTCATTACTTATATTATAATCGTAAATACCTTTAATAAAATACGTTATTAAATAACCCATTTTTTTATTTTATTTTTAACGTTAAAAATAAAACATATTTACATTTATATATCCGTGGTTTTATTACTTATATTATTATTTTAATTAATAAAATATATAAAAATTATAATATATATAATAAAATTATTATTATTATATTTAATTACCTTAAACTTTTTTTATTAAAACTTATTAAATAAAACTTTTTAAATAATTTTTATTTAAATCATTTTTATTATAAGTTTATATTATTTTTTAATAAAAATAAAAATAATAATATTATATTATTAAAAGTTTTATATTTAATCGTTAATTTTTTTAAAGCTTTTTTTAATTTATTAATTTAAATTTATAATAATATAACATTTTTAAATTTTAATGTTATTATTTTTTTTTTTTAAATTAAAAAACTTAAAAACATAATTTAATTTTTCGAATAATTATTTAAAATAAAAAAAATTATTACTATAAAAGTAATAAATTATAATACATTTACGTATAATATTATATAATATATTATAATTTTATAATTATATAAACGTATAAATTATTAACTTTTAATTTTAAATAAATATAACCTTATATAACATAAGCCACATAAAACCACATAAAGCCATAAAACGTCCTTTAATTAATAAAACCCTTTTACTGCCAACAGTATCCATTTAAATAGGTACTTAACACTTTACTTGAGCAATAAAACTGCGCTAAGATCACGAATTCTCTTACAGATTATGTGAACAATGTATAATGTTAAGTTTCAACCAGATTTCCATAGCGGGGTTAGCTCAGCTGGGAGAGCGTCAGACTGAAGTCCAACTTCAGGCCTAGAAAGGTCACTTTCAAAGCATCTTAAATCTGAAGGCCGTGCGTTCGATCCGCACACACCGCATATACAAGACGTAGGAAGCTACGAAGTCTCATATTTTTGCTTGATTTTCTTTTTCAACCAAGGTACTTACTTGTTAAGAATGTACATAAATAAATAGGTGCGGATTAGAACACTGCGAAAAGAAAGTATTTGCTTGTAGTTAAAATTTATATGTGATGTCATGTACCTACCATAGCTGTGCACTACCTTTGATCGACGTTAAATTCTACTATGTACAATATAATTCCGCGTCTATGGAAGGTTTCGGTTGCTCCCGTTCAATTAATTATGAAAGGCAGCAACATTCTTGCAAAAATATCTGAAGATACGCGCCTTCTATGTGTGAGCAGTATGAGTGAGGAACTTGCCCCGCGCTTGTCTCCATAGCAGCTGCTAGTGTGTGTCGGCCAAATCAAAACGCGTCCAACAACCCTCCGAAGAATCTCCGGCGCATTTACTCTAGGTACAAACGTGCATGGCCAATGTTTTTATTTACTTAGATTACCTACCTACCACCTACCTACCACCAACAAATGAAACAATCTCAACCGCCGCGATATTTTGTCCAATTCATATCAACCTTCTGACTAGATTATAACATCCTTGATTCTTTCGGAACTCTTTACCAATTGATTCTCTAGCAGCACAGACATCTACCTGTTTGCTTCGTACTTGCAGCTATTTCAATTGCGCTCTCTGTTTACCCCTCGCTGGTTCTTCTTCATTAGCTGAACGATAGAGTAAGACAAAAAAAAAAGAAGAGGATAGAGTTGTATTGGGGCACTCTCAGGGGACGAGAGTAGAGGCTGCTAGCAGGAAGGACCCGTTCTGCAATATAGGACTATGGCTGCTACTAGCCAGCGTCGGGTCGTCAAGGAGCCGTTCCGAATCCATCGCGACGAACCCGTAGGCGAAACGTCAGATGTCGAAGGGTCTACCCAGAGCCAAACCCAACGACACGAAGATGAATACGACAATCACGAAGACCCCGAAGATCACGAAGATCTATTAGCAGAAGATGTCGAAGATGAAGAGCAAGAGAACCCTATTGTCGACGACGACGGCAGCGACACCGACTCCGATGTTAGCGACGAGATTGACCTAAGCGTCCAACACGATATGGATAAGCTTCAGGCTACGTTTCCCGACTTCAAGGACAAGTATCGCTTGATAAAGCGTATTGGCGAAGGAACGTTCTCTACCGTCTACAAGGCCGAAGATATCCAGTATCACCAGTATGAGAATAACTGGGATATGGACGCCGTCGAAAGCCAATGGCGACCTCCGCCCCTCAGGGGTGCTTCTCGTTCTCGTTCTCGATCCGACTCACATTCTTCTCGCACCCGCCATAAGCCGAAGTTCGTAGCAATCAAGAAGATCTACGTGACCTCCTCGCCCTCCCGTATCCTTAACGAGCTCGAGCTTCTTCATGACCTACGCGATTCCAATTCTGTCTGCCCCCTCATCACAGCTTTCCGCCACGCCGACCAAGTTCTCGCCGTTCTTCCATACTTCCGTCACCAAGACTTTCGAAAATACTATCCTCATATGACTGTATACGACATGAAGCTATACTTTCGATCTCTCTTCACGGCTCTCGCCGCTGTTCACGAGAGAGGCATCATCCATCGCGATATTAAGCCTACCAATTTTCTATACGATCCAGACAAGAAGCGTGGAGTCCTAGTGGACTTTGGTCTAGCCGAACGAGAAGGACTGGAAACCAAGCCGTGTCTCTGCCAAGAAGATCAGAAGAATAGGAAGCAGAGATTACAACAGTCCGTCGCTTTCAATTCGGCCCAGGCGGGCCCCCAGATAGGATACCCGGTGAACGATACTCGACCCTCTCGTCGAGCAAACAGGGCGGGTACACGTGGATTCCGGGCTCCCGAGGTGTTATTCAAGTGCACGGAACAGACGACCAAGATCGACATCTGGTCTGCGGGCGTCATCCTCTTGACTATCCTCTGCAGGCGCTTTCCCTTCTTCAACAGCGCGGACGATATCGAGGCCATGATCGAAATCGCCACTATATTCGGCTCTAAGCGTATGAAGCACGCGGGCCAGCTTCACGGCTGTATGTTCGAGACTACTATCCCGACCATCGGCGAGAGAGGCTTTAGTTTCGAGAAGATCATGCTGTGGAGCACGTGCAGGAGTGACGGTGGCAAGGACGGGAAGTCGAATACGTTAACCGATGAGGAGAAGGGGGCTATCGAGTTCTTAAGTCGGTGTATGGAGCTGGATTCCATCAGAAGGATCAGCGCGAAGGAGGCTCTGAGACACGAATTCTTGCGAGTGGATGAAGAGGCGGATGCAGACCCTGAACCTGAGGACGACGTGATGATGTTATGATAGCTCTCCTTCGGATCGAGCTTTAATGATTTGGAGATGGGTGTCGGCCTTGTCAGTACTCTACGTCACGCGGTTAACGACGAACGATCGCCAAATTCAGCTATACGAAGTGAGCATGTGCTATGCTCTAATTTACCGCCGCTGAGTGGTCCACTAGTGGCCGCATCCTTGAGGTGCTAAACCGGTGGAAGCGGTATTCGGCATTTGTTATGAGCAGGCTTCTCGAGAATATGCTGCTTATATCAGACCACCATGTACCATAATGCGGCAAGAGTCGCTAATCGAGCTCTCGTTTGAGGAGAGCGGAACTGGTCCTAATAAGTCTGGTTGGACTACGCCATCCAGCATATGTACAGTACCAATAAGATACTATAATCTGATATGAATCACTAAGTGTAAAATGTGCTCGATTATGTACGATTGCCTCATTAGAAAAAGGGGCATACCTTACTGCACTACGTGTAACGCCTCCCTATATTTCACTGGACTCAGATAGTAGGTTGGTCTGCCTGATTCGGTTTGTGATCGACGTCTTTCAGCTTGTTACGTCCTACTGAGAATACGAAGTTACCTTCCCTCGGTTGCTCGGGTTCCTACTATCATCGAGTCACAGCATGCAAGAATCATTGATTTCGCTAGTAAGGAGATGGGGTATGCCTTCATAGGCGATGTAACGCAAACAGCCAGTGAGTGCTTTATACGAGTAAGATAATGTGGAACAGTTACGTTCCATGTATACCTAGGTATACATATATATTAGATCTACGATCCACACCTTGTCTTGAAGATTTGGTGCCTAACAGCAGAGGTTAAAAGATGCCCACCAACCTCGTAGGAATAAATCAGTAGTAAAATAGGTAGGTAGATAGGGGTAATTAGCCGAGATTCGTTCAGTCATGCATAGTACCTATGTAGGTAGGTATAGCTAACTATATGTGTTATCATGGTTTAGACGTAGTAGTTGCTCTCAACCTAGACTTGGGCTGATGATCATCTGCCTAGGTAACAATCACAACGTCTTGTAGGATTTCTTACGACAACAATACGAGAATAAAGGCAGAAAATAGTCTTTGAAGATGTTGTTCTTGAAAGCCCTTGTAGCTATTGCAAGCTCCTTGAATTTGATGATCTCAAGCAAGGTGGCAGCGCTCGAGTAGCCGATGATGGAACCCCGTGTGTTTTCTTTGGTGTTGTTCAAGACACATTGAGCAACACCCTTGGCGGAGGCTAAGGATTACGAATCCAAGAGATACGTTGCTCTGAGCTACTGTTGGGGCTCAGGGGAAGATGCAAAAAAGCAACTAAAAACAACCAAGGATACTCTCAATAATCATCTAGGAAAGATTGAGGTAAAGAAGTTGCCTAACACTATAGCAGATGCTGTTCGACTATGCCGAGAGATTGGGGTCCGATATATCTAGGTAGACGCCCTCTGTATTATTCAAGGCGACAAAGAAGACTGGACAAGATAATCATTCGAGATGTCCAAGATTTACGCAAAAAGTTTTCTCTCACTCTGCGTTCTTCGAGGCAATTCCTGTTCGAGTGGGTTCTTAGGGAGACGGAGTACTCAAACAACGTTGCGGATTAACTTCCGTTCTAAGATCAATAGCTTGATTTCTGGTATCTTGTATCTGAGTATGCTTAAATCACCAAGGCGGAACCTTAAAGAGTATGATGAGTTTCTCGGAAGGCCCACCGCTTACACGGATAGGGCTGCAGAAGATGAAATTAGAGATGCTACCTGGAGCTCGCGAGGATGGACTATGCAGGAAGCTCTCCTCTCCCCGCGAAAAGTCTTCTTATGTGGTATCATGTTCTACATGAGCTGCGGCAAGCTACAGGAGTCAGAGGATGGAACTCGGTTCAGCTACCTACGGATCCCAGTCTAAACCATTCTCACTATCCCCAAAAGAAGACAAACCAGACATACTCCTGGCCTTTGGACCGTGGTATGGCACGCTTGCGGATTACTGCCATAGAAGTTTATCATATAGACAGGATAAATTACCGGCCCTATTTGCGTTGGCGAGGACTTTTTCGGATTCGTATCCGGGGCAGAGGTACCTAGCGGGACTTTGGGATTCGGACATCTAGGGCGGACTTCTTTGGACTACCAACGTGTGGGAAGACCCTCATAAATACCTGAAACGGCGAAAAGACGAGTACATCGCACCTTCGTAGAGTTAGGCGTGCCGCCCGTGTGTGGTTCGTTGGGTCTGGGGTGTTGGGATGGCAGATCATTAGTTTACGAAAGAATTCGAGCTTCTGAAGGCGGAGATTATCACACATGAGATGAACCCGTACGGGCAGGTGTACGGCGGACATCTACTGCTTCACGCTAAAACATTTCAGCTTCCGCTGAATAGCGACGGGAGACCGAATCGTTTACACGCGCTAAATTCCGAGTACACATACTTAGGCTTTAGTTTCCACTACACTCTTCGGTCGGAAGAAAATGAACACATACCTACCTAGGTAGCGTACTTACACCTCGATTGGGACTTTTGCGGTGGGGCAAATACATCCTGGTATCCCAACGGACCGGTGGATCGCCTCTTGATGGTGTTGCTGTCAAGCTCAGGCCTTGACAGAGTAAACATGAAGAACCGACCACACTTAAAAGATCCGGAGATAATGCTTGGGATTCTAGTCATGAAGGCAGA